AAGAATATTTAACCTTCAAAGTAAATCTTCTCCTAAGATAACTACTTCATTTTTTACTGAAAACACATTAAACAATCCCTTATAGAGTTAACCACGAAAAAAATCACAAGACAAGAAGCAAGAAAGAATAAATTACAAAAAGTGCCACAGCAATCAACTTATAATACATAAAAAACTTAAAAAATTACAGTAATATTTCCAAATAATGTATCTCAACATTTCTCTCAACAAAGGCTTTCAAACACACCACAGAAAAGCAAACAAGATAAAACTTCCAATTCTTCCGATTATCATTTATAATTCTTCCGAACCTCAAACTACCGAAACCAAAAAAAGGAGAAAGAAAAGAAAAACACGCACTCATTGTCGAAATAAAATCAGTCCCAACATCAAAGAACACGCCAATTACCGAAGGAACAAGCGCATAATGACGTTACACGCGAGTCGCGCGTGAATACGAGCGCGGCTCGCCGGGACTCAATAGATTCGCGTGAAAATTTAAATATCTTCGTGGTCGGCTAGATATCGTCGGCGACGAGCGAATGAATGGCGCCCGGTATTGTCGAGCGGTGTTCTCGAGATTCGCTCTTTTTTTTTCCTCTCGCTCAGAGGCAGCTTGACGCGCGGAGACCACAAACAGTTCCCCGAAGAACAATGGACGTCACGCACGAGTCACGCGCGCGCGCGCGCGAGCATGCGAGCAGCCGGTGGGGGGGATGTTAAATCGAGCCCGTTCGATCGAGTCACGCCACTTAAACCACGATAATATGGTCACCGTTCGGGGACGTCTTAATCGGCGAGGACCGAATCATTGAAAATCGCCGAACGTGATGGGGACAAGCGAATTTATCCCTTAGTACTTTTGCTGTCACAGTGGTCCCACGGGGCTGGAGCTCCGAAATGACTTGAAAACAATTATAATTTGTAAGACAACCAACGTCGAATAGAAGTATTCAATAACGTAAATAATTAGATAATAGTGTAACATAGAAATTGTAATAGCAAATAATTAATAATTCTTCCTTTTTATCTTTGCTACAAAGAATAGGTGATACATAAAATTGAACCAGTTGACCGCGTTGGACGGGTATACACGTTATCTTAAACTCAGAATTATACTAATTCTTTTAACGATCAAGTATTTATTTTTTCAGATAAACATGTAATGTCTCTTCGTTAGCTACGAGAATCTTTGCTTATAACTGCTTATAACTGAACAGCTTCAATTTCATTTGAAAGCAGCTGTCCTTGGTCCTCTCTTTGATTTAGAGAAAAAAATACATATTCAGATACAAAAGGGTTAAACGGGGGACTGAAACGTGGGTGCCGCCACTGCGACGCATCCCGCCCAACTACGCCGCGCGTACACACGCTTCCTGCGAGGAAAGTGTAGCCATTCGTTGAAATCTCCGAACGAGTTTCGGCGACTTCTTAATCTCTACCACTGCGGCGCACTGTTATCGGCGCTCCGCGACGGTCGAATCCAACGTATAAATAACATTTGATCGCACAGGAAAGTGGGGAAAACCTCTGTGTATAGTTTGAACAATTGTTGATCAGTTTTTATCGTCACTGACACTTGTTACTGAAGGTTTTAGAAAATGGAAAAAAAGTTCGATCGTTTCTTTTTTTCAAATTTTTGAATCCGTTGAATTTTCTGTGATGCTGTATGTTTCATAGAAGATTGTGTTAATGCAGTTTCTTTGTAAAAGCTGATAAGGAAATGATCACATATCACGATGTGATTATTTTAAATTGAATGGTAATTAGCGTGCTCGGTTGATGAAGTGTTACAATCCTGGAATAATTGTACAGTAATGTTTTATTCACTATTGTTTTATATATGGGGCACAAGTCATTCCTTTTTAATAATTATATCATTTTTTAATGCTTGCAAGTCGGAACAGTTTCTTTATTTCGTATTGTTCCCTTCAATTTTAATGTAATAAATTTGTTCTATAATAGTTTGAGGGAGATTATTAAACACTAATGAACAAAGGTATATAAATAAATTAATAGAAAAATAGTGTTTCATCAAGGAATTCAGTCTTCATCATAAGGCAAAATGTTAATTAGACGTTAGGTGGCAATTCGATAGAAAAAATCTATCTGTTCACTGAAATCATTGCTGAATTTCGATACTTATTCTCGATTGATTTGACGTCGCTAGCGGCGAACGAGAAACTTTCCAAGTCCCACAATGGCTTTTAGAACCTGTATAATCGAGCACAAATCAGTAGTCTCGATCGGACAAGCAGTGAAATGGCTTGAGCTTGTTTCTGAAGGAGTCTCTACCAGCAACTATGGAATATAATAGATGCTTCACGCTGATTGACACGATTGGAAGGTAATCTACGCAAAATTAAACGTATTACAAGCCTCGTGTCACAATCGTGTTAAAATTAAATTTCTTATGATAATTATATTCAAATTTACTAACTTATAAATTAATATATTAAATCTTTAATAATTTACATGTAAATGTTAAAAGCTTTTTATAAATAGACTTTAAAAATTAATTCTACAAAAGAAACATTAATTCATTTTAGTGACGGTTTTAGAGATTAATATCGATAGAATAAGATATTTCCATAAGAATTTCATATTTTCAGAAACATCCTATCGAAAGGAGGTCGACCAAAACTAAAAAATTAATAAGATTAAAAACCCATATCAAACGCACCATAAAAAATGTTCAAACCGCACAATCATCCAGCCAAAAGCTTTAAAATGTCCGCAAACAACAAACTAAAAATCCAACGACAAAGAAACTCAACAATCCAGAGTTACCCCAAAAACCAATCACGAAGCCACGACACTGCCTAACTCGAATCTACTTCCACTTCAAATCCAGTTCACCGAAGCGTCACAAAGCAAAAACCAAAAAACATCCGAGAACACCGGCGTCCATGCAACTTCCGCCAACAGAAGAAAATCCAAAAGCATCGGTGTCCGGCTGGGAACAGCAGTGACGCGGCTGGGAAACGCATCAGAAGAAGCTTTTCGGGGGTGCGCGAGAGGGAACACTCGGGTTTCTTAGAATTCTCGTTATTCCAGATGAGCAGGGATGGCCGTAGCCAGGGCAAGCCACGAAATATCCGAAGAAAAACACGTTTCCAGGGGCGAATCGATAGCAACAATGCCATGGCAAAAGCTCGAGGTCTCGGCTCGCTCGCGCGCCAAGAGAGACGAGGAGGAAACGAGAGGGAGGAAGGAGTGGAGGAGGAGGACGAGGGCGGACAGGCATCTCGGGTGTGCTAGAGGGTAGACACAGCCGTGGTACGAGGGGTGTACGGGGTTGGAGGTGGGTGACTGGGCGGTCGGGTCGGGGGAGAGAGAAAGTGAGAGCCAGGAGAGAGCGGTAACAGGCGGAAAGAGAGGGTGGAGAGCGTGGTACGAGGCAGCCTTATTGGAACCGTGGAGAGGGAGGCGAGTTTTCCTAAGGGTAGAAGGACAGAGGAAGCGAGAAAGACAGGCGGAGGATACGGTGGGGAGACAGAGACGGGTGTGGGGAAACGGTGGAAGACAGGTGGCGAGGAGAGAAGAATAAAGATAGGGCTGTTGGGGGCGGTTGGACAGAGAGGAAACGGAGAGAGACTTAGAGAGAGAGACGGTGGCACCGGTTGATAGAACGAGGCCGCTACAACGCTGGCAACAGCCAGATGGGTAAAGGCTGCATTACCTATGGTGCCTCGAAGAAACGATCCTTATTGAGAGAACAGGTAACTCGGCTCTGCCATCTCCTCTCCTTCGTTAAAGGGGACTCGATGATTCCATCTTCTTTGTTCGTGATATTAAAGTACATCGAGGCGCCGTGGCTACCCACCCCTCCCAACGGCACCCCCTTTTCGATCCTCCACCATCGTTGCCGACCCCTCCGCCCTTCTAGCCGCTCAGAAGTGTCAATTGCGTTCATTGTTCGTTCATAGGGCAGAAGGATCGACCGATCTTTCTCGGCCTCTGGGTATCTTTCTCGTTTCGCTTCCTCCGCGATGGTTAGAGACGGGACGCGATGAATATCGCGTGTACCGATGCGAACGACCGATTTGCATATTCAGCTCCTATTTTATCCAACGACACCGCCCCCGACCCCTTGCCCGCTCGCTCGAGTGTCGCCAACGGCGATAGGGACTTCTTTGGACGGGACGGGGGTGGAGTGAAGCCACGAGAGCGTGACTGTTTAACTCTTGAAAGATTGCAGGAATAACGTGAAAGACCGGTAGTGCTCTACATGTCGAAAATGATTAGAGAAAGTGTGTATGTACGTTTGAAATATTTACATATACGTTTTCTTACTTAATTTGTTAGTTTTTTTACTGGTTTAATGTATAGTATTGTTCTTTTTAATGTTCTGCGTATACTGGTAAAGAGATTTGATGATTGGGAAAAGACTTTTGGACAGACGTAAATGTTTGAATGGAATGTCTTCCGGTCTTTTGAGGGTTAAGGAGGAACGCAAGCGATAAGCCTTTCCAAAGGAATAATTGGGGGATTTGTAAGAGACTATTTACGTGATGAGATGTTTTCCTTTGATTAATATTTCATTTTGATGGAATATGTTGAAAGCATGCTTGAATGTGTCTTGAACTTAAAGCGATATCCACAATGTGAAACAAATTTTGTTAATTTTATCAAATTTAAATGTTAATGATCTTATAGTTTCTCATTGCCTGTGAAATAAAGTAACAGTAGTTCCGAAATCCTTTTCTGACATAGCAAAAAAGTGAATTTCTTTCATTGAAAATTCTTTTTAAGCTTCGTTATTTATACATTGCTTCCAAATGAAGGATTAACATGCAATACATCATACTTAAAAAATGCCAATGATTTGGAAAATCTGGAAAAACATAAAAATGTAATATTCGAATCTTTTCCAATCAACAAACTCGAATCTTTCAACTTCGAGGACTCAGATATCCAACGATACGAACGGAGAAAAGGGTTGGAAAAGTGAAAAGCCATTAATTCGGATTTTAGTGATCTCATATATTTTCCCATCTGGTTCATGTGCAATTTAAATATAATAAAATAATAATTAATAATTAATAATAATAATAGTTATAAGGATGATAACTGTCACGGTAATAATAATAATTAGCAATAATTACTCGTAATAATACAGTCGCGCGTTCTCACCCTTAACAACTAACTGCGCTATGATACAACGATTATATACAAAATAATATTAGATCCGGTGCTTGTTCAAAACGCTCTTTTAGTGTCTCCCACGCAACATTTGCGCGCGTATGTGTGTTCGTGTCTGTCACTTCTGCAGCTACGTCACGACGATTATCGAACTTCTCTAGCGCAGAACGGGTCCGTCTGTTCCGCGTTTAAGGCCCTATTGTACCTTTTCCTTGTACTCGAGGTTCACCGGTTAACGACAAGCTATTATAATACACGGAAATCACTACCCTCTAGGCGATTTTTTTTGTTCTTAATATCATACACAAGGCTAGGCTACACGGTCAAATACGAAAAGTGTGTTTAGCGTCGCGGTGAAACGACGGCGACGGCGACGGCGACGGCGACGGCAGCGCGGATCGCGACCCCGTCTCCTCGCGATGGTGCGGCTCCGAACAAATCAACAAAACAATTTCGGTCAAACTTTCAAGAAAACAGTCGCCGCGAGAGAGAGTTTCGCCTTTGGTATACGTGACAACAACGTTCGCGTGTGCGAGCCACCAGTTCCTTGGAAACGGTATGCGTCGTTGATCGGGTGACACGTTCGTTACCATTGACTTGTCTTTATCACTTTACGAACGAGGATTTTTAAAAGAAAATCAATCTTTTCGATGGGCGAGTAAATTAACACTAGAAAATAAAGGAACTACGTAGTAATCTTTTATTGCATAATTAAATTTTTTGATTGCAACTTTCGATTATAAATATGTGAAACTGATGTGACCATTACGATGACATTCGTCCTAAAAGGGTTAAATATAGTACGAAATTGTGGTCAGTTTTGAATTGTTATTTTTTATTTTAAATATTTGCAAATAAGTAACAAGGTAATTGGATTCTTTTGTACGCTGTACTAGTAGGTGTCGTCTTGTACGAAGTTCGTTCGAATTTTCTCTCGAACTTTACAATTATGACAGCACCGCGTGTGATTTACCTTAAAAGGTAATAATACTCTTGAAATATAAAGTTCTGCGAAGGGATGGAATTTTATTATTTCAACTTAGGTTTAGATGTACAGTCATCATTTTTCCGATTTTATTATGAACTCTGATTTAAATTTATATATTTGGTATACCATGACAGCAACGTAAACGTACTATATCTTGTGGTAGCGAACGTGTTGAGATAGTGTTCATGGAACAATATCCTTTTGTCACCAATAAGATTTCACGAAACACTCAATCCTGTTGTAACAGAAACGAAAAGTAGAAAAATGCAAATTTGAAAGGGGAAATTTTTTCAAAAACGGAAGTAGTTGTACAAATTTCATTCAATTAATTCCAAATTAGATTGTGACGGCTTCAACGAAATATCTAAGGAACATAGTTACATAATTTAAGAAATTACTCATTCTGTAAAATTAGATTAAAACAGATAAGACTCTAATATTGTTAAAACCGAAAATTGAAGACAATCCTGGACTGCAAATTTCCTGCTACTTTCATACTTAAATTTCACCGAAGCTAAAAACGAGTATCAAATGCGATAACAAAAGAAATAAATACTCAATTCCAATATCCGCAATCCCCAGGTTCTATTACTCGCGCAAAAATTCGCAGCCTCCTACTAAACCCCCAAAACTGATCGAAACAAGCTCAACTACAAAAACCAAAATAAATATTAACACTAGGTTTAAGGAACTTGTCAATTTGACACATATTGTATTTCATAAAGACTATTTACTAAATGTTTTCGTCGACTTTGATTGGTACAATTACACCAGTACGTACTTCAGTTATCTATTTTTAAACGTTCAACTTCCAAAATTCGATTGAACGAACATGAATTTTTTTAGGATCAGTATAACAAACAGTGCGAGAAATGTCTGTAAACCTAGTGTTAAAAACACTAACCGTTCCTTAAATACTTCCTCAAAGGTCACAATCCGTCGAACAAAACTGTTTCCACAATCGAAGATGAACAGGCAGCGATCGAAATTCCTCTCGGCGTGAAATTAGTAGCGGAACGGGCCGGTGACTTCTGAGCCAGCAGACAGCGAGCCGAAACGGTTCGCGGGTCATCAGCAGCGGCGATCGTTCGTTCACCGGCCGTTAAATATTCAAGTGGCTGTCCTCCGGCGACCAATTGTCACTGTCGAAACCGCGTGCGTCCATTTCGGTTCTCCCGCAGCCGGATCCTTAAATACCGGGGGTAGCGTCCGCTTCCGATCCGGATTTGACCCGCGGTCGACCAGCAGGGATCGGTGACACGCGACAGGGTCGACCCGCATTTTGACATACTCGCGAATAATTTCGTCTCGTTCCACGGTCTATATCGGGAACGCGGAACGAACCGATCCGACCCGGCCGGCCGGCCGGCAGGTTTAACTGGCGCTGTCGCCGGGGACGCCGGCAAAGTAATTGATCTTATCCGGTTTAATAGATGATCGGGTTATCCGATAGCTCGAACGGCAGCGCCGGGGAATCGGATATTAGCCGCGTCAACCGTCCCACCCCTCGCCGACCGCGGACAAGTTTTCGCGATCGTCATCGTTCGCCGATGACGGGAGCCTTAATAGTTCCGTCCTCTTGGAACCATTTCCTAGGGATCGGAACGCTAAACGTCTAAATTTACGCGCGGATTAAATAGTTTCGTTACTCATTCATCGTCCGCGGTCACCGACGGGCAATAAATAAACCTTAAATTGATTCGGGGTTGGAAGATACGGGGCGTCTTTGCGGTACGAATGGTCCGTGACGGAAAAAAAATGAATCAGGTACATGGAATAGATTCTTTTTTCTTGTTTTTGGACAGAGGGCAGGGGGTGGTGTGATCGATGAGAGGTTATTCCATGGGAAAAAATGAGTTGAAAATGTAGAATGCAATATTGCCGTTTGGAGCTTCGTTTTTGGGGAAATTTGATTTGGAAATTCGACGAGCGCGGTTGCTAACTGTCGATATAGTACGTTCGAATTTAATTTTCTCGGAAACGAGACCTCGAACGAACACATTTTACTGTACATTTTTTGTTTATTTTTTCACGTGGAATAACCTTCTTCCGATTCTACTGGCTATATTTAACGCTGGAATCAATATACGTGATTAATTTACGGAAAAAATAAGAGTTCGAACGAAAATATCTTACTCTATGTTCCCTATGTACCTTTCCATGTAGGGTCACACCCTGTTCGATGAAACAATCAATCGCAAAGGCACCCCGTACAATTCATCGACCAGCGAAAAACGAAAAAGTCTCATCGGGGGACGTTAAAAGTCTCCAAAACACGTTCAGTTCACAATCCTCGAAATTCCAAAATCAGTCTCTCCTAACGCCTCCAAGATCACAATGGAAAACCGTGGTAACATTCAATTCATCCCAACAATCAACTACAGTTTCCCCACCATTGTCTTTCCGCGCGCAGTTCAAAATGCCCTCGCGGGCAGCGGTGGTCTAGAAGAAAGAGTCGCTTATCGAACGCTTAATCCTTTGGTCCTTCTCACGAGGTCTTCTCCCATCTCGGTCCCAATCTTATCCTCACGTGTGATGCTCGCCAGTTTGCACTGACACCTCGGACCCCATCATCATGCCACTTCCGAGTATGTTAGCGGCAGAGGGCAGCACCAACGGACTGGGCATCGTGATGGAGGGTCTGAGCCTCTCGGTGAGCGCCAGCATCACCTGGCAATGGAGGTGCTGGATGGTGGCTAGCAGATTGAGGTTGGTGTCGATCAACCCGGTCGCCGGTGAATATCTGTCCCTCTCCGACGTGTCGATCTCCTCCGTGGGCAGGATAGTTACTTTCTGCTCGAGCTCGATCTCCTTTGCCGCCGCCTTGTTTTTCTCCGCCTGCAGTAGCCTCTGCTGATGCTTCAGGTATGAGGTAGTGATGGGAAGACTGTAGTCGATGGGTGTATTCTTGGGATCGAGTCCGGGACTCCACGGTCTTGGTAACGGTTGGCTGGGCTGGGGCGAGGGTGTCCGGCCCTCTGGCAGCATCCTCTTCCTCTTCGACGAGGCTGAGCTTCTCGAGCTAGCCCGATCTGACTCGGGAGTGCGCCTAGACTCCGGCAAAGTGTCCGCGCTGGGCAAAAAACTGCCCGTCACCGGCTCCTTTTTCAGCAGATTGGTAATGCTCAGGGGATTGTACTTTTCCTCCTTTTCCTTGTCAGGCTTCTCCATCGCGTTGCTGCTGCTGTTGTTATTGCTCTTCTGGTGCTTTTGGTGCCTGTAACTGTACAGCGCCTTAGTCTCTTGGTGTCCGCCATCGCGAAGCTTCGAACTGCCTTGCACCGACGAGGATGAGGACGACGACGTCGTCGACGCTGTCGTCAAGCCACCGGCTGTACTCGGGCTCAACGGTGTCGGGGTTGTTGTTAAAGGCGTCGCAGCGCTCGACTGCGTCTGGTTGGATATATTCGTCGGGCTCGGGGTACGCGGGCGTCGTTGGCATTCCGTGCAGCCCAGCAGGAATCGCGTTACCGCCTCCCGAGGCAGAAACGCGTACGTTTCCGTGATCTGGAATGAAACCGGATGTTCGTGTCAAAAATGCGAATCAAGGGTTTTTCTTCTTTTTCATTGCTTTTCATGCTACTGTTTGTTCTTCGAGAGGGTGGGTAAATGGTTTACGGTGGTTGCTGCGATTGTTACGTGAATATTATCAATAAATTATGGATCTTTATGATACAATCTGAATAAATTCTATATAAATTCTACGTTCATTGATAACACTGTTTAACAAATTTTAACTTTTTACTTAATTCTTTCAGTTCATTTTCTAACTTCCATTGTTAATTAAGTTAATCAAGTTTTAATTTTTTCACAGCTTGTTAACTATGTATGATTTAATTTGCTAGAGTTGGCTTAGCGGAGACTGATAAATAAATTTATTAATAATTGAGTCGATTGCGTCAGAAAAAATGTAAATTAATTTTTACCTTCTAATCGGGACATTGATTGAATATCAATTTTCTTTCCGAAATCATTATAAATAAAACAAAGCTATAGATACGTGTACTTTAACCAAGCACTAGACTAACTGTTAAACTGTAGAAACTCTCTCAGAATAACGGAAATTTTCTAAATTTTTCAGAATTTTAGAAGGGATTTATGGTCACAACGAAAGCAGCAAGGATATGACACTACAAAAAGCAGATCCAAACGTCCACGTTCGATTGTCTTTCATATTTCAATAGTACTCGTTTCATCTGAAACGGGAACGGTTCTGGGCACGATTTTCCTGTCTACAAATACGACTTCTCCGAGACATTTTGCGTTGATGCCAGGGATCGGGCACATTTCTAAGGAAGAATTAGGAAGCAGCGAGGAGTTGCGGGGGAGGGACAGGAAAACGGGACGAGTGACCCCTTTCCTACCTCTGTCAAACGTCACGTGGAACCGTTTCATGCGGAACGCCCACTGGGGAAAATTCATGAGCAGTAACGGAACTTTGATGTCTTTGCGAGGAGGTATTTAGCCGGGGGGATGTTCTCTACCTCTTAATAGGAAACGTTTCTCCCTAAGGAGGTGGAGGAGCGGCATAACTTAATCAAGGATGGGAGCCTCCGAGCCGAGAAAGACAAAGGTTCCCCGTAGATATATGGACGCTGCGTTATGTGCGCGTGTCATAGGCGTATATAGTATGCGCCGTAACGGCGAGATAATTTGATAAGATTTACTTGAAGCCTCGTCTGCGAAACGAAAAAAAGATCTACGGGTGAGAAACCGAGGTAATGGCTTTTAGAGCAACGCCCGCGCGCAGGCAACCTCGTTTGAGAAGAGGGTAGTTCCTTGCGGAAGTTCAATGAAATCTCCGAAATCTTCTTATTAGTGAACATTTATTACTTTTTAAAAAAGAGAAATGTTTGAGGAAAAAAATTTATAGAAATACGGTGAACGAAATAAAGATTGGAATAAAAATAAAATAAAACGTAGTAAACTGAATAATTTTCAGTCTTTTTTCCATAGAGCAACGTTGAGTTTTGATCCGTTTTCAAGTTTCTGGAAAATTCTTGACAAATTCTTGGGAAATATTGTTCAGGAGATTGAAAGTTTCCCGGCTGCTATTTCGCTTAGGAAGATTACCCTAACAGCTGAGTATCAATTAACCGCAAATCGGCACCCTCTAACGTGACTCACAACCCTCACTCACCACGACCCTCAACTCCGCACCCTAAGCTTTTTGAAGATTTCGATCAGTATGCCCCTCTCGGATCTTCATTCACTTTTTATGGAGACATTATTAACACGGGTTTCATTCAAGCAGTATAAAGACAATATTCGCATAAATTATACTGCAGAGTTCATAAGGAATTAATCTTTCTCATTATTCTTTCATTCTATCACATTTTAGATTTAAAATACTTGAAAAGATATTGTGAGATATCATTATATAACATATTATATAAGAACATTGTGAAATTTAAAGTACTTTAGGAAATGAGATACTATTCTTCTTTTAACAATATCCAATACTTAAATTAAATACAAATCAAAGTAAAACATCCTACTTCTCTACCAAAAAGCAAAGTAAAGAAAATAAAATAATTTCAATAAGCGTAGTTCGTTAAAGTAACTCCAGTACAAAGGGTTTGAAAACACAAATATCATTTCTCCTTTAGAAAGAATCTAAATAAATTGAAGTAATCCTATAAAAATTTCCTAATACCAATTTCTACTAATCAACCACTCAAGCCGAAAATTCGCATAAAAATCTACACTACTATTACCAGCCATTGAACCAAAGTCCATCATGGCTATCCTCATCCCCGAGCAGCGAACAATCGAAAACCACACCCCAAGAAAATCAGGAAAACCGTGTTCCCCGCTCTCGACTCGAAACACCCTCCATCAAACTCGTAAAGGTTCGACGTGATCAAGGTGGCCCGAGGGGTGGTTGTCCCGCGAGCCGATGAATCGCGGCGCCGGTAACGCCGACTTAAACGCGAAACGGGTTTCACGGTCGCGGCGGGGCCGCGGTACGCGTGCGTGCGTGTGCGCCGCCGCCGACGGCTGCGTGTGTGGGTAAGTTGCACGAGTAAGCAGGCAATGCAACAAGTGTCCTGAGGTTTTGAATCACAAGCAGATCGCGGCGGTCCGAAGAGTGAGAGAGAAAGAGAGACAGAGAGGGAGGAAAAGAGAAAGAGAGGAAGAGGATGCAGTTTGGAATGGGAAATGGGTGGTGGGCGGCG